GTAAGTAAGTAAGTATTATGTAAGTAAGTATTACGTAAGTAAGTAAGTAAGTAAGTAAGTAAGTAAGTAAGTAAGTACCTAAGGAAGAAAGGAAGGAAGGAAGAAAGGAAGGAAGGAAGGAAGGAAGGAAGGAAGGAAGGAAGGAAGGAAGGAAGGAAGGAAGGAAGGAAGGAAGGAAGGAAGGAAGGAAGGAAGGAAGGAAGGAAAGAAGGAAGGAAGGAGGGAAGGAAGGAAGTAGGTAAGTAGGTAACTAACTAGGTAAGTATATAAGTGAGTAAGTAAGTTTGTTCAGTGTTTAAGGCCATTGGCCAACATCACATCATATAAGACTCTCAGCTGTTAATTAAGCAAATTTTCCACAATGGAAAAGAACAGACTGTGCACAAATCTTTTATCATGGGTCAAACATTGCATATTTCTGTCACTGGGTGGAGTTAGGCTGGGAGGAATTAACCCTGTGCATTGTTCTCCAACGGGTACTGGAGAGGGGTTGAGGGTCACGATACACGTTTATTTTAGATCGTTTCAAACTTAAACTTGAAACGAAAAACTAATGTTACCACTTGAAAAATCCAAATAAGTATAATGTTACCATCAACAAAATAATATGTGAATTATAATACGTATGGCATGGTGTTGAAAACAGGCACACGTCAAAATAATGAAATGGAAGAAACCAATATTTATTCGCCCAATGGGCAAGCTGTATCAAATCGTCTTTGTTATCTTTTGGCACAACACCTTTCTATGTCCATTTAAAAACATATTTCTGTTTTGAGTTTACTGACAAATGTTAATCAAAGGCACGCCAATGTAAATATGCAGTTACCAAGGACTCTCAAGCTTTGGACGGCACTAAAGTTAAGCGGCCATTTTCTTGTTGATTTATTAACCTCTGATACCAGGCCACCCCCACCGGCTTCAACCGCACATATATCGATTTATATTCAGGACTGATGCGTATTTTTTACGCCAAAAGCAAGAAAATGGACAAGCTTTACGATTATACCAATAACTCCATTTGCTCAAAACACTGACGAGCCCCTGCTTCCACTGCGACGTGACACATATGCTAACGAAAGGTCAGGAAAGAAACAGAACAAAACTGCAGCACCCAGATCAACATAAAACACGGTTTGTGCTTTGAATGGAAGACAACACCATTCACAAAAAGACCCTCCCCCCCCCCCACTATCCCCCCCCCCCCAAAAAAAAAAGGGGGGGGGGTAGGAAACATTCATCGCATTTCCTTTTTTACAATCATTTTATTTAGAAATCAAATACGTTCACATGCTGCCAATCAAACTTCATATTTCTATTTTATTTTTTTACGTTAAAGCCATCTAAAAATCGATGGGAGATAATAATGTTGTCTTATCTGTGTTTCGGTCAACAGCCGAAGGGGCAAAACTGTCTAAGAAATAACAAGTAAACAATTTTCCTCGGTGGTTTCCCTTCGAATCCTCTTCACAGTCAACGGGTGATAATTGAGGCATAGGTGCAAAGCCTCTTTCGTTGCGTGTCTGAAATAATCACAAACACACAGATTGTAAACGGGGAACACACGCATACATAGACATGCAAACACACACTCACAACACACAAATACACACATGCACACACACACACACACACACACACACACACACACACACACACACACACACACACACACACACACACACACACACACATATACGAGCGCGAGCGCGCACACATGCATACACATACACGCATAAACA